TACTTGCTGGCATTGGCACTGCATAACATTGCTAGCACTGGTTCAGTAAACTCCCTGAGTGAGACCCAAAGACTAGTGTTCCCACATAAAGGCCAAAGTTTTGGCTCAGTAAACTAATAACTGGTTGGTCACAGTCACCCTTAAAGTTTGTGCAAAGCCCAGAGCTAACATTGCTAAATAATGCTAAATTATGCCTGGAATCCACAGAGCTGAAGGTAATCTGCTGCTTGAGAGGGAAGAGGGCTGGTATTGTTGTTTGGTTAACAGAGGTGTGTGTGTGTTGTGTGTGTGTGTGTGTGTGTGTGTGTGTGTGTGTGTGTGTGTGTGTGTGTGTGTGTGTGTGTGTGTGTGTGTGTGTGTGTGTGTGTGTGTGTGTGTGTGTGTGTGTGTGTGTGTGTGTGTGTGTGTGTGTGTGTATGCGTTCAACTAATGGCTGGAGGTCTTGTGGTTTACTCTCACAGGTCTCATGATCGCACTGAGCTCCAAGTCAGAGCCATAGAACCCATGACACAGCCACATGGTGACCCACTAGTAGAGGAGCGGTTTACCCTCAAGAAGCTGATTAAACAGCATGATCATTACAAAGGTGCACCTTGTGCTGGGGACAATAAAAGGCCACTCTAAATGTGCAGTTTTGTCACACAACACAATGCCACAGATGTCTCAAGTTTTGAGGGAACGTGCAATTGACAGGCAGACTGCAGGAATGCCCACCAGAGCTGTTGCCAGAGAATGTAATGTTAATTTCTCTACCATAAGCCACCTCCAACGTCGTTTTAGAGAATTTGGCAGTACGTCCTACCGGTCTCACAACCGCAGACCACATGTAACCACGCCAGCCCAGGACCTCCACATCCGGCTTCTTCACCTGTGGGATCGTCTGAGACCAGCCACCCGGACAGCTGATGAAACTGTGGGTTTGCACAACCAAAGAATTTCTGCACAAACTGTCAGAAACAGTGTCAGAGAAGCTCATCTGCGTGCTCATCATCCTCACCAGGGTCTTGACCTGACTGCAGTTCGACGTCCTAACCAACTTCAGTGGGCAAATGCTCACCTTCGATGGCCACTGGCACGCTGGAGAAGTATGCTCTTCGCGGATTAATCCCGGTTTGAACTGCACCGAGCGGTTTGCTGATGTCAACGTTGTGAACAGAGTGCCCCATAGTGGCATTTGGGTTATGGTATGGGCAGGCATAAGCTACGGACAACGAACACAATTGCATTTTATCGATGGCAATTTGAATGCACAGAGATACCGTGATGAGATCCTGAGGCCCATTGTCGTGCCATTCATCCGCCGCCATCACCTCATGTTTCAGCATGATAATGCATGGCCCCATGTCGCAAGGATCTGTACACAATTTCTGGAAGCTGAAAATGTCCCAGTTCTTCCATGGCCTGCATACTCACCAGACATGTCACCCATTGAGCATATTTGGGATGCTCTGGATTGACGTGTACGACAGCGTGTTCCAGTTCCAGCCAATATTCAGCAACTTTGCACAGTCATTGATGAGGAGTGGGACAACATTCCACAGGCCACAATCAACATCCAGATCATCTGTATGCAAAGGAGATGTGTCGCGCTGCACATTAGATACTGACTGGTTTTCTAATCCACGCCCTTACCTTTTTTTTTTTAAAGATATCTGTGACCAACAGATGCATATCTGTATTCCCAGTCATTGTTCTGGATAAGAGCGTCTGCTAAATGACTAAAATGTAAAATGTCAATTTGAAATCCATAGATTAGGGCCTAATAAATGTATTTAAATTGACTGATTTCTTTATATGAACTGTAACTCAGTAAAGTCTTTGAAATTGTTATATGCTGTGTTTATATTTTTGTTCAGGGTACATACTGTATCTACCTCAATTACCTCGTTTCCCAGCTCATTGGCTCTGTACTGGTGCCCTGTGTACAGTGAGGGAAAAAAGTATTTGATCCCCTGCTGATTGTGTACGTTTGCCCACTGACAAAGAAATGATCAGTCTATAATTTTAATGGTAGGTTTATTTGAACAGTGAGAGACAGAATAACAACAAAAAAATCCAGAAAAACGCATGTCAAAAATGTTATAAATTGATTTGCATTTTAATGAGGGAAATAAGTATTTGACCCCCTCTCAATCAGAAAGATGTCTGGCTCCCAGGTGTCTTTTATACAGGTAACGAGCTGAGATTAGGAGCACACTCTTAAAGGGAGTGCTCCTAATCTCTGTTTGTTACCTGTATAAAAGACACCTGCCCACAGAAGTAATCAATCAATCAGATTCCAAACTCTCCACCATGGCCAAGACCAAAGAGCTCTCCAAGGATGTCAGGGACAAGATTGTAGACCTAAACAAGGCTGGAATGGGCTACAAGACCATCGCCAAGCAGCTTGGTGAGAAGGTGACAACAATTGGTGCGATTATTCGCAAATGGAAGAAACACAAAAGGACTGTCAATCTCCCTCGGCCTGGGGCTCCATGCCAGATCTCACCTCGTAGAGTTGCAATGATCATGAGAACGGTGAGGAATCAGCCCAGAACTACACAGGAGGATCTTGTCAATGATCTCAAGGCAGCTGGGACCATAGTCACCAAGAAAACAATTGGTAACACACTACGCCGTGAAGGACTGAAATCCTGCAGCGCCCGCAAGGTCCCCCTGCTCAAGAAAGCACATGTACAGGGCCGTCTGAAGTTTGCCAATGAACATCTGAATGATTCAGAGGAGAACTGGGTGAAAGTGTTGTGGTCAGATAAGACCAAAATCGAGCTCTTTGCCATCAACTCAACTCGCCGTGTTTGTAGGAGGAGGAATGCTGCCTATGACCCCAAGAACACCATCCCCACCGTCAAACATGGAAGTGGAAACATTATGCTTTGGGGGTGTTTTTCTGCTAAGGGGACAGGACAACATCACCGCATCAAAGGGACGATGGACCGTCAAATCTTGGGTGAGAACCTCCTTCCCTCAGCCAGGGCATTGAAAATGGGTCGTGGATGGGTATTCCAGCATGACAATGACCCAAAACACATGGCCAAGGCAACAAAGGAGTGGCTCAAGAAGAAGCACATTAAGGTCCTGGAGTGGCCTAGCCAGTCTCCAGACCTTAATCCCATAGAAAATCTGTGGAGGGAGCTGAAGGTTCGAGTTGCCAAACATTAGCCTCGAAACCTTAATGACTTGGAGAAGATCTGCAAAGAGGAGTGGGACAAAATCCCTCCTGAGATGTGTGCAAACCTGGTGGCCAACTACAAGAAACGTCTGACCTCTGTGATTGCCAACAAGGGTTTTGCCACCAAGTACTGTCATGTTTTGCAGAGGGGTCAAATACTTATTTCCCTCATTAAAATGCAAATCAATTTATAACATTTTTGACATGCATTTTTCTGGATTGTTTTGTTGTTATTCTGTCTCTCACTGTTCAAATAAACATACATTTAAAATTATAGACTGATCATGTCTTTGTCAGTGGGCAAACGTAAAAAATCAGCAGGGGATCAAATACTTTTTTCTCTCACTGTATATACTGTGTATTTATTGTTATTTTTATTATTAGGTGTTTTACTTGTCTATAATTCATCTATTTTCTTTCTCTGTATTGTTGGGAAGGGCCTGTCAGTAAGCTTTTCACTGTTAGTCTACACCTGTTGTTTACGAAGCATGTGAGAAATACAATTTGATTTGATTTGTGTAGGCCACCAAATGGATTGGGACTGGAGGAGATGAGGGAATGAGGAATATCACACAGGCGTGTTTGTGACAGGTAGAGCCGCTCAACTGAGTATGGAATATCACATGACTGTGATTTATACTTAAAGCTCTGGCTTTCCTGTGAGTCAGAGCATATGTTCTAACCAATATGACTGGTAGAGCGAGGGAGGGAAAGAAGGATGGAGGGAAGGCAGGGGCAGAGAGGGAGGGGGTGCGCTAAAAAGATAAAAGAACTTGGGATTTTAGTGGGCTTTGGTTATGTAATTGACGGTTAGAGGGAGGGCTTTAAGAATTGAGTCAGGGATGTTGTTGGTGGCTAGGCTATTTGTGTGTGTGTGTGTGTGTGTCATCATTCCTGGGCCCACATAAATCACTGATTTGCCACTCATGGCACAGTGTCTGTTTTATATGACAACACAGGTATTATACAGTTAGGTGTAGTTTTCCTCAGTGGGACTGTTCTAATGGGTTGTTACTGAAACATAAACACACTAATGCACTGGAATCAGTAAATAGTGGTGTACTGTTCCTTACAGACTATGTCATCAGTGATCTCATGTCAAAGAGAAAGAATGTACATGTAATCATTGATATGACATGCCATGCTACTTACTGTTTATGTAGTACTACTTACCGTATATGTAGTAGAGCAAGGAGGGTTTACTTGCTTTTTTGGGAATGGATTTAGTGACGTCATCCGAGCAGCCAGCGCCCCTTCCACTCAAGTACTAGCACGCGCTCCACTCGCGAATCCGACAGACGTGAATATGGCGTTAGGTTAAGAGCTTTTAGACGCGCTAGAAAGACAAATATTTACTGATATAAAGACGTTTTCGTCGTAGTAAATACGGGATTTTATTACACTTACCAAGTCAGTTAGTAGTGTTATTCTTTATTTGAACTAGCTGCTAGTGTGTTGAGTATTTCAAGCTGGATGGAAGGTTTGCCGCTAGAAGAAAACAGAAAGGGGCGGGTGCGATTCATTCATTGCTAGTTCCTACCTGACTAGCCAGTCCGCTATCGTTAAAGCTTATCTAACGTTACAGGCTAGTGAGCCAAACTGAGCCCTCCAGGTGAAGAGTCAATTTGGACAAACACTAGCTAATACTAATACTTTTAGGACATAACTAGCTAATTTGATATAGGTAGTAGATGTGTATTTCCTAACACGGATGATATTGCGCGCTCTGTAATTGTGTTGACTTTCTTTAGCTAGTTTTTTGTATTAATTTAGCTCGACTGTCAGCTAACGTTCGCTTGCTAGCTAGCTAGTTAGCTAGACAACACCAACAATGTCGGATAACCAGAGCTGGAATTCTTCGGGTTCCGATGAAGATTTGGAGACCGCGGAATCGGGAGTCGGGCAGCCTGTTGTTGGAATCGCCGAGTTCAGTGGAATCCTCAGCAAGGTAACTGACCTGACGTGAAGTCTGGCTTAAGTTAGCTAGTTAGCTAACGTTAACTACCGTAGCTAGCTAGCTCTGAGTGGTTGAGATGGGTATATAGAGACAGCTAGCTAGCCATATGCAGGGCTCTACAGTGCGACCATTTTAGTCGCATATGCGCCTACATATTTTGCTGTGCGACATGGAATTGTTATTTAGGAGCACCAGTGCGCCTATAATTTTAAAAAATATTTTAGCTTTATTACCTTTGTGCTCCCAAATGTCTTTGTGTGCGCCTACATTTTCCAATTTGGGTGCACACGTGCTCCTAGTAAAAAAGGTAAGTGTAGAGCCCTGATCTGGCTATAACCCGCAATTACCTTCCTCCCAGGTCGTGCCAGCCAATAGTATACATAGCCTATAGGCCTACTGTAGGGATATGGGCTAATTAAACGATATTGTTGGTTGACAAAGTGTCAGGCCTGTAATTGTTGTGAACAAGAACCAAAGCGCGCAAGCTGTTTTGGTTTATTTTTAAATGTCAAACTAGCTAACGGTAACCAAACCAGCCACATACACTAGCTGACAGCTGGCCCATCTTTACTTGACCGTGGCTTCTGGTTGGGGGTTTCTGAAAGCCTTTAACAAAACTGTAGCTCTCTAACTTTAGGCCTTAGCAAGCAGAATATTACCTAGGTAAGCAGTTATTGCTGTGTGGGTTGCCATTCTAAAGTCTGTCTGACCATAGAAATAGAACGATCATTATATTTATGTGGCCTGACTTGCCAACCCAAGCATGTTGAGAGATTATTGCACATCATAATCATGCTAAACTCACCTGCATTATCATAGTAAGCCCTGTACATGTGATAAATTAGTTTTAGATGGATGAATGGGTTTTCTCTTTACCTAGTTAACTGTTGTTGTCATACAGCCTTGAGTGCTTGCTTGCCACATATTGTTACCTCAGATTAATGCCACAGTAGAATATTGCATCAAAACAGTAGTTAACAAATGGATATGAATGTAGAAGTTATAGACTAAGCCAGTGACCTTAAACTTTACATTACTTTACCTTAATCATATGACTCTACCTTCCTAGTGTTTCATCAACTACCCATTGTGTGATTGAAATGGTTGTTGTTGTTGTCATCCAATCTTTGTCTCATTTAGCTTTTTCAGATTGCTTGAATTGTCTGTTTCTGCTGTAGCCAACTTGTGCCAACAATGTGTCATTACATAGGGGGAAAAAAGGTATATTGTGTTAGACTATCGTGTGCATCCTCATTATAACAAGACCACTGGGAATTCCTCCCTCCCTCATAGCTAAGTAACTTTAATTTGCATTCCCTTTCCTCTCCTTCAGTGGACCAACTATATCCATGGCTGGCAGGATCGCTGGGTGGTTCTGAAGAACAACACCTTGAGCTACTACAAGTCTCAGGACGAGAGAGAGTTTGGCTGCAGAGGGTCCCTGTGTCTCAGCAAGGCTGTCATCACTGTGAGTAGACTACACTTCACTATATACTGTACTATGTTACTATAGGACTACTGCTTTATAGATGTTAGACTGTAAGTCAAAAACTTTACGTTGAGAGAGAGTTCGGCTGCAGAGGGTCCCTGTCTCAGCAAGGCTGTCATCACTGAGTAGACTGCAAAATACTATTGAGTAGACTACTATACTATGTTACTGTACTACTTTATATATGCTTATAGGGCCAATCAGCAGTTGAAACAATAACAAAGCATACTCCCTGCCACTGTTTCGGTAAAAAGCTGAGTGATGGGGCTGGAGAAATGTAACCACTCTAAAATTCATAGACAGGGCTATGGATGCAAGGACTGACCATCCATGATATCAACATTATAGTTTAAACCATGTTTTGAGGCTTTACAGTGTTTGTTTACATTTACTTTGTTTACAAACATTGGAGTAAAATAAGCTTATATTTTGGGTTCTGACAATTCTTCAAGAATCAATGGGTACATATAAATAATTTCAATAAGTCCAAAAATGGATGTAGCAACTGCTGATTGACCCTTTAAGTTTGTGTCCAAAACGTAATGATGAGAGAGAGCGACTGTAGAGGGTTCCTGTGTGTCAGCAAAGCTGTCCTCTCTGTGAGTAGACAACCAATCTCAAACCTACGACAGTGTCTTGTCTCGCGTCTTGTCTTGGTGCTGTGCCAATATCAAGCTCCAGCACATACTTCTGAGCTCTTATTAATTTCTTACTCCAGTTGAATGAATGGATATGTGAAAGATTTGGAAGTGATATTTTATGGACAGTGTAACAAGCTAGAGAGGGATCAACTATTGACATGGATATCCATTTTACATTATGCATTGGATCCAAAATGTGCCCTCCTTATAAGCAACTGAGAAATTAGAGATGAGAGCATAATAAACTGTTGTTTACAACAACACGGAACTCCTGATTGAGTCTTAGTGCTGGAGTGTAAGTAGCTCGTCAGGTGACTGCTGGTTTTAACACAACATTCTGAGCTGGGGATCAACTTTGGCTCTACTCAGCCCTACTCAGATCCTTTCACAATGCATCTATCCATCAGTCTCTCCAGGATTCTGCGATGGCAATTTTGTTTGCAAAATCAACAATTACCTGCATATTATGCGAGGGCTTGCAAATTTGACCATTCACTGTACTATTTCTGCATAAAACTGTAAAATCGTTGCAATATTTTCGCATATAACTGACCCATTGCCGCAGTACAAAAGGGATTGCAATTTCAACCCATCACCCCCCAAATAATATGGTTCAATAAAGCTACACATCAACAAACTTTTTCCATTGTCAGTGCATTTTTGTGACAAATTGGACAAAATCATCACATACTGCCATGCACGATGTCAGAATTGCCGCAGCAAAATCAAACGTTTTGCCCACAAATATCACATCAAATTCCTGCGTAATCCTGGGGGGCTGATCCTTCCTTCCTTGAAGTAATCACTGATCTAACAGTATAAGATCAAGGCTAGGTGAAAGCCATCATAGATTTTACCAATCCAGTTATGTCATTCACTGACAATAAGGAGGATAATGTAATGAATGACAAAGGTTGGGTTCAAAGGTCAGGTTCTCATGGTAACTGATTAATGTTGAAGACGGGTTCCTCAGGGCTTTGAACCCTGTCAATCATCCCTGGACTGTAATCATTGAACTGCGGTTTGACAAGCACGTTATCATATCCTCCTGTGTACACACACATACACACACACACACACACACAAAAGCACACAACTGTATCCATGTGTCTTTAGTCTTGTGTTTTGTGTGCCATTGCTTATCACACTTTTCACACTTTTTCAGTGTTGACCACAGGTCTGTTATTGACTAACACACACACACACCAGGGTTTCAGTTAGTAAAATTTGGCACCGGGCAAGTGACTGGTCAGATAGATTAAAATCTTCCATTTGAGAAATGTACTGGTCATCCATATGCATTGTGTGCTTAATCCATTAGGCCGCCCACCCACGCAGCCAGCACCATCAATAAACGAGGGAAAGGAGCCACATTTTTGTGTCCTTAAAAACAGCCTATAACTCATTACAAAAACACTATTCCTTGTTTCGATCTGTAGCATATGCAAAACTTTATAGCCTGTTTTATTGGTTTTTACTTTCCTAAAACAATTGTCCACCTCACGGTTCAGCTGTCGGAGATTTGAGCACAAAATGCATCAAGGCATTGCATGCATATATTGGCTTAGGCATCCACTGTATTTTATATTTATATATATATATATATATACACTGCTCAAAAAAATAAAGGGAACACTTAAACAACACAATGTAACTCTAAGTCAATCACACTTCTGTGAAATCAAACTGTCCACTTAGGAAGCAACACTGATTGACAATAAATTTCACATGCTGTTGTGCAAATGGAATAGACAACAGGTGGAAATTATAGGCAATTAGCAAGACACCCCCAATAAAGGAGTGGTTCTGCAGGTGGTGACCACAGACCACTTCTCAGTTCCTATGCTTCCTGGCTGATGTTTTGGTCACTTTTGAATGCTGGCGGTCCTTTCACTCTAGTGGTAGCATGAGACGGAGTCTACAACCCACACAAGTGGCTCAGGTAGTGCAGCTCATCCAGGATGGCACATCAATGCGAGCTGTGGCAAGAAGGTTTGCTGTGTCTGTCAGCGTAGTGTCCAGAGCATGGAGGCGCTACCAGGAGACAGGCCAGTACATCAGGAGACGTGGAGTAGGCCGTAGGAGGGCAACAACCCAGCAGCAGGACCGCTACCTCCGCCCATGTGCAAGGAGGAGCAGGAGGAGCACTGCCAGAGCCCTGCAAAATGACCTCCAGTAGGCCACAAATGTGCATGTGTCTGCTCAAAAGGTTAGAAACAGACTCCGTGAGGGTGGTATGAGGGCCTGACGTCCACAGGTGGGGGTTGTGCTTACAGCCCAACACCGTGCAGGACGTTTGGCATTTTGCCAGAGAACACCAAGATTGGCAAATTCGCCACTGGCACCCTGTGCTCTTCACAGATGAAAGCAGGTTCACACTGAGCACATGTGACAGACGTGACAGAGTCTGGAGACGCCGTGGAGAACGTTCTGCTGCCTGCAACATCCTCCAGCATGACCGGTTTGGCGGTGGGTCAGTCATGGTGTGGGGTGGCATTTCTTTGAGGGGCCGCACAGCCCTCCATGTGCTCGCCAGAGGTAGCCTGACTGCCATTAGGTACCGAGATGATGAGATCCTCAGACCCCTTGTGAGACCATATGCTGGTGCGGTTGGCCCTGGGTTCCTCCTAATGCAAGACAATGCTAGACCTCATGTGGCTGGAGTGTGTCAGCAGTTCCTGCAAGAGGAAGGCATTGATGCTATGGACTGGCCGCCCATTCCCCAGACCTGAATCCAATTGAGCACATCTGGGACATCATGTCTCGCTCCATCCACAGACTGTCCAGGAGTTGGTGGATGCTTTAGTCCAGGTCATTGAGGAGATCCCTCAGGAGACCATCCGCCACCTCATCAGGAGCATGCCCAGGCGTTGTAGGGAGGTCATACAGGCACGTGGAGGCCACACACACTACTGAGCCTCCATTTTGACTTGCTTTAAGGACATTACATCAAAGTTGGATCGGCCTGTAGTGTGGTTTTCCACCTTAATTTTGATTGTGACTCCAAATCCAGACCTCCATGGGTTGATAAATTTGATTTCCATTGATAATTTTTGTGTGATTTTGTTGTTAACACATTCAACTATGTAAACTATTATTTCATTCATTCAGATCTAGGATGTGTTATTTTAGTGTTCCCTTAATTTTTTTGAGCAGTGTAGATATTAGATATACACACACACACTACCAGTGAAAAGTTTGGACACACCGACTCATTCCAGGGTTTTTCTTTATTTTTACTATTTTCTACATTGTAGAATAATAGTGAAGACATCAAAACTATGAAATAACACATATGGAATCATGCAGTAACCAAAAAATAGCCCTTACACAGCCTGGAGGTGTGTTGGGTCATTGTCCTGTTGGTCAGTCAATCCGGAAAAGTTCAAGAACTTTGAAGTGCAATCTCAAAAACCATCAAGCGCTATGATGAAACTGGCTCTCATGAGGACCGCCACAGGAAAATAAGACCCAGAGTTACCTCTGCTGCAGAGGATAAGTTCATTAGAGTTAACTGCACCTCAGATTGCAGCCCAAATAAATGCTTCACAGAGTTCAAGTAACAGACACATCTCAACATCAACTGTTCAGAGGAGACTGTGTGAATCAGGCGTTCATGGTCGAATTGCTGCAAAGAAACCACTACTAAAGGACACTGTCATGACTCTCCCTGGGTGAGAATCAAAGGCCTATGACACAGCTCGACCAAGAGTTGCCAAATGTGACAAACGCCAAATACTTCTCCACTGTCGACGTGGCGAATGGTTTCTGGACCGTGACAGTCGACCCTCGCGACCAACACAAGTTGGCTTTCTCTTTCTCGAACAAGCTCTTCACGTTCAATCGTTGCACGTTCGGGTATTCGAACTCCCCCGCAGAGTTCAACATCTTCCTGCACAAGGCAATGCCAGAATCCAAGCAGTCCGCAACATCAAAACGCCTGCAAACCTTCATGAGGTACGCAGCTTCTTGGGAGTATGTAATTACTCACATCAATTCATAGAAAATTATGCCGACTTGTCAAAACCTTTGACCCGTCTTCTTCAGAAAGACACCCCATTCATTTGGGATTGCCACTCACGACGAAGCTGTGACTTCCTTGAAAGACCTGCTTTGTGCGGCACCCTGACAAGACAATACGTTCTTTTTGGAAGTAGGTTTCTCAGAGCACTGCCTTAGTGCTGGGTTGTACCAAAAATACGACCAAAACTGATGTGTGGTTGCTTACGCGAGCAAAACACTCAACCCTGCTGAACACAAGTACTCAGACTGCGAAAAAGCACTGCTGTCGACAGTCTGGGCGGTCAAGCACTTCACCTCTTATGTCGGCGGACAAAA